GGAGCTGGAGCCCTGTGGGACGCCTTGCGAGGGGCTTTTCATCTCCGTGGCCTTCAAACTCCTCATCCTCCTGCTGGGCAGCTGGGCGCTCTTTTTCCGCCGCCCCAAAGCCTTCTTCCCGCGCGTCTTCGTCTTCCGTGCGCTGCTCATGGTGCTCGTCTTCCTGCTGGTCGTCTCCTACTGGCTCTTCTATGGCGTGCGCATCCTGGACTCGCGGGACCGCAATTACCAGGGCATCGTGCAGTACGCTGTGTCGCTGGTGGACGCGCTGCTCTTCGTGCACTACCTGGCCGTGGTGCTGCTCGAGCTGCGCCAGCTCCAGCCCCAGTTCACACTCAAGGCCGTGCGCTCCACCGACGGGGCCAGCCGCTTCTACAACGTCGGGCACCTCAGGTGCGGGGATATGGGGTGCGTGGGGGTGGGGAGTGGCACCGTGGTTGGGTGGGTTTGGGCATGTGCACTCCCATGTGTGTGTGTGTGTGTGTGTGTGCACGTCTGCATTCATGCGTGTTGGCGTGTGTGTGTGTTTGTGTTCATGCACACGCAGCTGGATGTGTGCACGCTGCTTCCTGCTGCGCTCCGGCAATCCCTGACCGGAGGAGCTGTGAGCGCCCAGGTGTCCCTGCAGTGAGATCTGTGTCTGCGGTGCCAGCTCTGTTCCTCCCTCCTGTCCTGTCCCCATGTGCCTGCCCTGGCGCAGTGCTGACCTGCTCTCTGTGCCCTGCGCCCGCTGTGTCTCCCTGCAGCATCCAACGAGCAGCCATCTGGATCCTGGAGAACTATTACCACGATTTCCCAGTCTACAATCCCGCCCTCCTCAACCTGCCAAAATCCGTCCTGTCCAAGAAAATGTCCGGGTTTAAAGTCTATTCCCTCGGCGAGGGTGAGCTCCCGTTCCCTTGACTTCTCCTCTTGTTCCCCCTCTTCCTGTCCCAGTGTTTTCCCCCCCCTGCTCCCCACAGGCTCCATCCCATGCTGAGCTCCCAGCCGGTCTCTCCGGATTTGCACGCATTTGTCGCGGGCGAGCTGGGTGCAGGTTTCCAAGCCACAGCAGTACCGCCCTGCTGCAAGCAGGAGCACGTCGGGCGCGTCCGTGGGATGGGGCTGTGCTGGCAGCACTGGGAAGGGGAACATCTCACCCCTTTTCCTGCAGAAAATACCACCAACAACTCCACGGGACAGTCCCGGGCTGTCATCGCCGCGGCCGCCCGCCGGCGCGACAACAGCCATAATGAGTACTACTATGAGGAGGCAGAGCATGAGCGCAGGGTGCGGAAACGCCGCGCCAGGTATGGGGACATCAGTGGGGAGCGGGTTATGGGGGCCCTAAGAACCATCCCAGGATCTCCCCTCCCCCCAGGGATGTGGGATGGAGGGGGCAGATCTGAGTCTCCCCAAGGGTGCTGGGCTGGGAGATGGAGCAGGGTGGTGGTGCTGGGGTGAATTTGCTTTTGGGGTTGATGCTTTTGGGGTTCAAGTCTGGGCTGCGGGGTGGAGAGGTGCCAGGTGGCTCCTCCAGGCTCCTAGGGACGGGGCCACATCCAAGTGGCTTTTGGAGGTCTCCAAGGGGACAGCACAAGTGTTTCTCGACAGGCTGGTGGTGGCAGTGGAAGAGGCCTTCACCCACATCAAGCGGCTGCAGGACGAGGACCAGAAGAACCCACGGGAGATCATGGACCCACGGGAGGCAGCCCAGGCCATCTTCGCCTCCATGGCACGGGCCATGCAGAAGTACCTGCGCACCACCAAGCAGCAGCCCTACCACACCATGGAGAGCATCCTGCAGCACCTTGAGTTCTGCATCACCCACGACATGACGCCCAAGGTGTGTGCAGTGGGCTGGGGGATCCTGGGGTGGGTTTACCCAACCACGTGAGAGCATCTCTCAGCAGGGTGAGGGGTGGGAGAGCGGCGCAGTGCTGTGCAGCTGGAAAAGCGGGTGTGACAGCAAGGGAGGGAGGGATGGGGCAGGTTCCCAGCCGCTGGGAGGCTTTTCCTGCAGGACCTGCTGGGCAGCTCGGGGCTGCAAATAAATAGAAATGTGAGCAGCGTGAGGGTGATGTTCACACGTCTGTCCTCCTGCAGGCTTTCCTGGAGCGGTACCTGAGCGCCGGGCCCACCATCCAGTACCACAAGGACCGCTGGCTGGCCAAGCAGTGGACACTGGTCAGCGAGGAGCCAGTGACCAACGGCCTGAAGGACGGGGTGGTCTTCGTGCTGAAGCGCCACGACTTCAGCCTGGTGATCAGCGCCAAGAAGATCCCTTTCTTCAAGCTCTCGGAGGAGTTTGTGGACCCCAAGTCGCACAAGTTCGTCATGAGGCTGCAGTCTGAGACCTCCGTGTGAGCACAGAGTGCTGCAGGGGCTCCAGGGTGGCCCTGGGTCGTGCAGGTCCCCGAGCACTGAGCCCCAACCCTGGCACGAGGCCGCTCGGTGCCCGTCCCCACGCTCCCACACCCAGCTCCTCACAGCCGTCCCCAGGAGGCACTGCCAGCACAGCACAGCGTCACAGCCGGACGGGCAGCATCTCAGTGCCATCCCCCCCCAAGGGCTGACCTTTGGCTGAGTTCTCTGCACCAGCAGCCTCGCTCGTGGCCAGGTCTGAAGCATCTCCTGCGTCTTCCTCTTCTGCTGCGACCGCCGCGTCTCCGGTCTTAAAGCACCACCTGTGTCTGGGCTGGTTGGTAATAACGACATTTTGGGAGTGTTTTGCAAACCCCTGTGATCTGAGGCTGCTATGGAACGAACCAACCCTCTGCCCCATAGCCGGGGCAGACCCCACAGGCACGGTGCTGCCGCCACGGGAGACCCTCAGCTCCCCGTTGCTTTGGGCACGGAGCTCCTCGCAGAAGCAGGAGGTCTGATGGTGAAGCTGAGAAACATCCCAGCGCTGTGGGTACCCCAGCCCACCCCCAGCTCCCAGCACGCCCCTCACGTAGGGCCGTTACCCCACTCCAAGCTGGCTGCCAGAACCACAGAACCACTGAGATTGGAAAAGATCGCTGAGTCCACCCATCCGTCATCACCAGCACAACGGGGCCGGTGAGGGGATTTGGGGTGCAGCACCCCGTGGCTTGCAGTGGGACAGCCCAAAGCACCCCTAGGCTTTGGTGCTGGCCCCAAAGGGCTTCTTCGTGGGGACCGTGCTCTGTGGGCTCCTCGGCTGCTGTGCCATGGAGGTGGTGAGGAGGTGACCCCCAGGGGTGAGGAGCGGGGGGACCCCAATGCTCAGGGCTGCACCACAGCTTCTGCCTTCCCTCAGCTCCGTGAGGGCTGCCAATACCTCATGGGGAGGGTCCTGTATTTATCCATTTTTCATGCTGGGGGTCACCCCAAGCCGGGTTTGGGCTTCTTTGGCCCTGAGAGCTACCAAACCTCGTCACTGTGACACACACATCCCCCCCCACCCGAGGGGCTGGGGGCTTCCCAGTAAGCACCAGTAGCAGGAAAACAGATCCAAGTGGATTTCAAGGGCTTTCCCAGCACAAAATGGGTGGGATGTAGTGTGTGTGTGGGTTGGGAGGGGAGGGGGGGTGGAGGGGAGGGGACTGTCCCAAATTCCCAGGGATTTTTCTGGAAATCTTTTCTATTTTCCAGACTTTCTGTGGCTTTGTGACTCCGCTCAGCCCTGTGCAGCTTCCAGTCCCGTTTACACACGCAGCCCTTTGGGGCTGGTGCCGCCAGGAGCCCAATTTGGGGTTGTTTTACTGCAAAAAAAAAAAAAAAAGGAAAAAAAAAGCTCGTTTTTACAGTTTGCAGTGTTAGGAAGTCGGATGTTGTTTTTGTTGGTTTTCTTTTTTATGATTATTGTTTTATTTTATTTTTTAAATAGAAGAACTAAAAATCTAAAATTATCCTTTTTTTTTTTTTTAAATAAATCCATTGGATATTTTTTGGCTTTGTCTTCCCCCCCCCACCCCCCTTCCACCCCTCAACCCCACACCTGCAGTGCCATCTATGACCTCTAGAGAGCACGATGGGGGGGGTGGCATCCTGCCCTGGGAGGTCGCACAGCACAGCTATGGGATGTGAGTTTGTGGGGCTGATGTTGGGAGTTTGTGGGATCGAGGATTTAGGGTTTGTGGAGCCCAGGGTTTAAGGCTGACATGGCCAAGGGTTTGAGGTGAATGGAGCCAAGTGTTTGGGTTTATGGGGCCGTGCTCTCGGTGTTTATGGAGGCGAGGATTTGGTGTTTATGGAGGTGAGAGTTGGTGGTTGGTGGAGCTGTGGGTTTGGGGGTTGTGTAGACAAAGTTTTGGGTTTGATGGGGAAATGAATGGGGATTTATGGGAGCAAACATTTGGGGATGGGGGTAGCGAGGATTTGGGGTTTGGATGTCCAATGGTTGGGGATTTCTGGTGCCGAGGTCTCAGGGTTTCTGGGGGACGTACCAGGGCTTTATGGAGCTGCAGTTTATGGGACCAGTCCTTTGCTTTATGGAGCTGTGAGTTTGGGGTTTATGGAGCCAAATTTTGATGGTTATGTGGCCAACAATTTGGAGATGATGAGGACAGGGATTTTGAGCTTTTCCAGGGCCAAGGGCTCGGGGCGAGCAGAGCACAGCAGAGAGCTGAAGAAAAACCCAAAGCCTTTGGGACTCGCGTGTTTCCCACCCCCCAGCCTGCAAACAGCAGATGTGCACAACGCCCACAGCTCAGCGCCCACCTGCACCTCTGCCTGCGTCACTGGGAGGGGATGTTGGGGGTCCCTTTGATGTGTTTTTTTTCAGTGCTTTTTGAGTCCTTGCTCTCAGCCCCCACGCATCACCCTGGGGGTCTGCACCTTGCACTTTGCTGTGCATGGAAGGAGCAGAGTAAGAGGCAGAGGGGGCTGCTGCTCGCTGCACGATTGCTCCCCCGGATGAGTAATTTAGCACCAGCATTTCCAACCATTCCCCTTTTCTCTGCGTGTGAAGTCCTTAGCTGCCCCCACTCCTCCTGTGTGCTGGGCCACGTGGGGGTAAATGACAGCTTGATGCACAGGGTGCAGAAAATCCAGGATTTCTAGGGCAAAAGGCTGCTTTATTGGTTCCATTGTGACCTCCCCCCAAGCCCTATCCTTAGGTACAGTAAATGTACACATCCCACACAGGTCCTCATTTTGCAGGGAGGTGGCCATGCATTGAGCATCCTTCGGCTGGACCAAGGTGGTGTGTGATGCTCACATCCTCTAGCATCCATCTGGCTCCTGACCAGGTGTGTTGGGACAGTTTGTCCCTCTGGAGTGGCCTTGTGCTCCTTTAAGGTGTCCAAAAGCTGCTGGTTCCCCTGCTTTACCCTCAGTCGTCAACAGGAACCCCAGAGCAGAGGGAACTGCCTACAGTGGTGGGATCCGTGGGCTGCTGAGAAGCAAAAGGAGGTGCTGAGGGGGACGCAAGCCCTGGAACACTTTGAGAGCATCTGAAAACCCCCCTGCACGATGCTTTGGGTGCACCCAAGGTTGTGCCCCGAAGCTTTGGGCTGATGGCATCAGGGATGGGGTGAAATACCTGGGAAGGCTGTTCTGAGGGGGGGGCTGGCTGGCAGGGGGTGGTCTTGCTCAGCTCCTGGGGTGGAGGGTTGTCTGATCTCTTCTGCAAGAGAGGGACAAAGTGCTGAGCATCCTCATCCCTGCGCACCACAGAGGGGAAACTGAGGCACAGAATGCAGCTTGTCCAAAGCAGGTTTGGGGGGGGGTGAGGAGAGGTCAGGAGGAGCAGTTGGGGAGCAGCCCCACCTGGGCAGCAGTAACAATCAGAGCTGTGTCGTTTTCTGGGGTGGCCTCATCTGCAATGCAATGAGTGGAGGTGAATCCAAGCAGTAGGAGTGAATTAAGGATGCTCCAGCAAGAAAGTGGCTGAAAAATCTCACCTGAAAAGTCACTGATGGAGGTGGTTGGCTCTTGTGACCCTGTGGGAGAGGGCAGAAGCACGTTACAATAAGGAGGCTGAAAAAAAAACTGAAAAACCAAGCAGCTCCTCCTGAGATGAGCTGGGAAAGTTTAGAGTTTGCTTGGCTCTGCGTTGAGGCCAAAGCTGGCACAGGGTGGCCCAAAAGGTGCCAAACTGAGCAGGAACTGAGCCGTGCCAGGGGAGGTGATGCTTTGCAGCATTTCTGTGATGCTCTTGGGTGCTCTGAGGTTGCCAACACCCTTTCCTGTGGAGCCTGGGTGGTGCTGGTGCCCCAGCACAGCAACTCACCATTGCCTTTGGTCCTGCGGTAGGTGAAGAAGAGCACAAGCAGAGCGAGAACCACGAAAATGATGGGGGACCAATACCTGATGGGGAAACCCGACTCATTTCCTATGGGAAGAGACAAGAGCTGAGGGCTCCTTGCCCAAAACAGAGCACTAGTGTCTCTGGGGGCTGCAGGACCCTCCAGGGCAACGGTGCATCCCCGAGCCACGTCTCCTCTTCATGACACTCACGGGTTTGGTTCCCTGGGGCACCTGCTTGCAGTGGCACAGTGATGGTGGTGAGGTTCCCAGTATCAGAGGGGCTGGGGGAGCCCACTGGTCCCGTTGTCAGCCCACTCACATCCCAGGTGGTCGTGATGGGAGCCCCCGTGGCCTCCAAGATATCGCTGTGCTGGGTGATGTTGTTGTCCCCCTGACCCTCTCCCTTGAGGGCGAGTGCTAAGAACAAAGTTCATTAATTCACATTAGGGCCGAATAGCCTCAGCAACACCAACACTGTGCTTTCAAATGTCAGGAACTCACGGTAAGACCGGTTCAAATCTCCCAACTGCTCGCTAACGAAGAAGGTGCTAATGAGAGCAGCATTGTGGTGGGGGCTGCGCATAGTGGGGAAATGACACCGGGGGATTTTTGGAGCCAGCAGCAGGGAAAGTGTGAGGGTGTTTGTACCGCAGGGCTTTACACCTCTGGCCGGGGTGTGCAGGATATTTCCCAGCAGGCTGAGCATGCCCCGTGGCACATTGCAGCAGTGGGGACATCGTGGCCACGCGCTCACGGTGACGCAGCCACTGGAGGCAGGAAAGCTGGTAGTGGGGATGGCTGCACCCTGGTGTGCAATAGGGCCGGGATATGGGAGCACGCAGAGAGCCCCAAAGACGTGCAAAGGGCTGAGGGCAGCGAGCAAAGCAAAGATTGAGCTCGCAGTTTGGCTTCCTGGAGCCTGGCTTTGCAGCACCGCTCTGCCTGCTGGGTGTCACACCTGCTGCCTTCGCAGCACACCACCCACTCTTCTCCCGCTTCCTCCTCTTCCTCCCCGCCTCACCCTGGGTTTTGGGCAGCCCCCGACCCCCATCCCCACTCACCAACACCCACACAGAGCACAGCAAGGCAGAGTCCCCCGCGCCCCGCTCCTTTCGCCTCCATCCTCTCCTGAGAGCCCCCCCCCCACCCCGCAGCCCCGCAGTGCCTTCCTTCCCCTTTCTCTACCCTGCCAACGGCTTCCTGTGAGCACGAAGGTGTCGGCAACATCACGGGGTGATTCATGGCCTAAAATTATCCCCGGGGGCATTTCTGGAGCTGTGGTGGAGCAATGGACGAAGGGCGGTGGAGGCGGCGATGCCCTGGTGCCAACACATTGTGCACAGCCCCATCCGGCAGCAGAGGGCTGGGACAGATCTGGTGCCACAAGGATGAACCCTTTGGATAAACGCATGATCCACAGAGCATTAAATCTGGTTTTAATTGATGGGTACGAATTCAAGAAACAGAAAAATGAACCGTGTATGACCATGCTGTGAAAACGCAGAAAACGCACTGTGGGTTTGTCAATAAGATGCTTTTCATCAAAAAAAAAAAAAGAAGAAGAAGAAGAAGCAGCAGAAAGAAATGGAGCTCAGATGTGTCTTGCATTTCTATTCCAGCAGCTCCTAGAGGGCTCTCCTGTGCCAGGCACTTCAAAGGATCTCCGGTTCCATCCCTGAATAATTCAGTATCCGTGCAGACAAGACAAAGAGCGGGGGAAGCAGCACGTGGGAAGATGTGTCCGTCTGGAAATGGATGGCGAGGGGCACTGGGACAATGCAGAGCAACACATCCCCCTCCTGCAGCCCAGCCCCTGTAAGGAGCAGCCCCAGCTGTGCTCCCCATGCAGCACCTCAAGGCTGGGGGCTGCCCAGGGTGGTTCAGAGCTGCTTGCAACCACAAGTCTCCGGTGCTTCACATACCAGTATATAAAAGGAGTTGTGCAGAATGGCACCGGGCCACATTCCTTGTCACGTTTTTTCCCCTGAGAGTGAACCCCCTCCCTCCCAGTGCAGCCTTGCAGCATCTCCTGCAGGAGCACACGTAGCTGAACTGCAGCACGGAGCAGCGCTGGGTGCAGGGGATGGGCACCGCAGGGGCTGTGAGGTCGCTGCAAGCGGTGCTGTGGAAACTCAGTGCATGGCAGAGGTGTGTGTTCTCACACTTGGTTTTCTACCACATTTTACCAAGTGTTATTTTTACTTTCTTTGTTCAGTAACCAAAGCAGTAAAGTATTCAGGTTAAAAAGCAATTAAAAAAAATGTGGCTGAAGAGTCTCACTGAGCCCCCCCCCCATCCCTCTGCACAGCCTCTGCTGAGGCTCCTCGCTGCAGGAGCATCCCAAGAGCAACGGGATGGGCAACGCAATGAGCAGGGCAATGTGCAGCCACAGCTTTGGCCCATGTCCCCCAGGGTGGCCACAGAACACAAATATAGGATTCCAAATCTCACCCAGATGGCAACACGCAATCAGATCTCTTGTCCCAGGTGAGCACTGCGTCGTGATGGGGCGGCTCCCCAGTGGCAGGGAGCAGATCCACAGCAGGCATGTGGGCACTGCAGGGCTGTGCCATGGGCTGCAGCTCAACGACCATCAAGCAGGGGCTCTTCTCTTGCTCCCAGCACCCCAGCATCCTGCTGCTCATCTTCTCATCATCTGCGACTGCAAACAGACAGAGCTTTGCTTTGGCTCCTGGGAGCCGTGCCATCCCATGCCTCCGCATCGAGGCACTGTGATGCTGCCATGGGATGAGCTGCTCCATCCAGCTGTGGCCCAGCCACGGGGTCTCAGGGTCTCAGCACACAGGGATGGCCACAAACATCAAACTCACCTGGGCCATGTCTTGGATGGTGGCATAAATGGTGTTGAAGGTCTCCAACCCTGAGGTTGGCAACTTCTTTGGGTCACCTTTCTGTGCCCTAGGGAAATTTCATGCATGCATACGTGGAAAAAGTTATTTAAATGTTTTCAGGGCACAGAATGGGCACAGATCCGTGACCCTAGGACCCCTGAGCTCAGCGGGAAGGAGCACATCCCAGGTGGATGTGTTGGTCCCTGGTGGCAGAGGGGAAGTGCAGGCAGGTGGCTGAGGCTGTCCCCCATTGAGTTCCCAGGAGGAAGCAGCAGTTGAAGCTGGGGCTGTCCAACTGCTGTCCTTCCTCTGTGTCCCCACCACACATCCCCTGTGCTGTCCCCATCCCAGGGCTGTGCAGATCCATCCTGCCATGCACAAAAAGGACAGGGATGGACTCACCTGCTGGACAGCAGCGACCTCAGCATACGCTGTCATGTACTCTGCTGCAGCCCCTGCAAAGACACACAGTTAGAGGGGCAGCCCCAGCGCTGGCAGCAGCATCACTGCTGCACCACTGGGATGCTCCTCGCTGAGGGCTGCAGGGATCCCATGCAAAACCACAGCCATGCACCTGCAGCCAAAGGCAGCCAAAGCAACTTGCTGTGACAGTCAGCTTTTTGTTTACATGCAGGATCCATGGCTGCTTTCATGCATTTTCTTCTCCATTTTAAGTACCATTTCAGAAAGCATCGGTGTCAGCACATCGAACAGAGAAGGAGGGTGGGTTTACATCCTGTATTTGGGGTTCAGGGTCAGATTTTCAGTTTCTATCATCTGAAGCAGCCACATGGACTTCCGTTTGTGCAGCGTTTTGCTGTTTCCCACGGAAGGGCTGGGCCCCAAAGAACAGCCAGGAGAAACCCCTGCTCCAGGCGCTGGACGTGCCTGCACACCCCACTCGGACACTCAGTTCAGTGCTGGATGTGTAGCCTGAGCCTCAGCATCTGGTGGAACTGATGCAAAGGTGATGGAGCTCCTTCTGCAAAGCCCCCAGAAGTAAGGAACCCAGGCAGCAGCAGTTTGGGGCAGCTGCTGCAGGCAGGGGGTGCTCAGCTTGGGCAGGTGCTGCAGGAGCTCATTCCTCTTTCTGGATAGGGCGCAGCCACCTTGCAGCTCGACTTCTCTGCACCCTGCCTGGCTTCCTCCTGTCCCCAAAGTCCCTCGAGCTTTGGAAATGTCCTTATGGCTCTGCTTCCTTCTCTTGGGGAGGGCACAAAGGTCTCCAAAAAAGGACCACGGGCACCTTTTCCTGTCACTGTGCAGGCAGGGTGAAGGCATGGGGAACACTGGGGGCTTGCAAGCCCACGCACGGCTAGGAACCAACACTGGGATCACACAGACAGAGGGGGTGAAAGCATCCAGAGCTCTGGGAACAGCTACACTCCCAAGCTGTGGTGATGGATGGTTTTCCTCTGGATCTCAAGAATAAACAAGGAAGGAGGCTGAGGGAGCCAGGAATCCTACCTGCTCTGGGAGCTGCAGGAGCAGATAGGTCATGGCTCCTCCTGCCTGGGGAGAAGTGACACGGGGCTCCTGTTAGAGCAGCCCACACGCTGCCAGGCAGGGAGATGTGGACTCTGCACCTTACCTTTTAATTTAACAATGATAATGACAATAGCCAGGTGTAAGAGCAGTCCAGTCACCAACCCCGCTATGATGGCAGTGTGGCTGTTGGAAAAGGTGCCTGGGAAGAGAAGGAGGTCCTGGTAACGACAAGGGGGTATCCCAGGCACATCCCAAAGCACCTCTGCTCAGCATCGGAACAGGGGTGCTTCAAACCCTGCTAAATCCTTCCTGCTTTGCATCTCTGCTCCCCCCAGTTCTTCCTCCCTGCTGCACACCCCCATCCCACAGCTGTGAGCCAACACAGACCTCCCCTCTTGATTTTCCAGTGGCAAAGAGAGTGAATGATGCTGAAGCTGCACAGAAAGCCTGGATATCCCCCAGGAGCTGTAGGAAGAGGTAAAATGCTCCGGCAGCTCACCTGTGAGAAGTGAAGGGGCTGTCAGCAAATTCCCCAGCCCCACTTCCAGCCTGGGGCCAGAAGCAAAAAGCACTCATTGTACACATGCAGGGTGAAGCTGACTTTGACCTGGTTGTTTTTTGTTAAGCAGGTGCCAGCGTCGCTCCTCCTCAGCTGAGAGATGGTGAGCGAGCTGCTGTTGTTGGGAAAGGCCACGCAGAACACGAAGGGTTTGTCAGAAAACACGAGTTTAGGAGATGCCCCCAAGCTGATGACCAGTATGGGTTCACCATGGAAGCTCCAGGTCAAGTATTCTCCTATCAGGTTCTGAAGGTGGGATGGTCCATCCCACTGCTAGCACACACTGAGGAGAAAAACCCAGCTGAGCCCAGAGGAGGGGTGCAGGGCTGTGGGTGCTGCTTGTGGAGCCCTCCACCTTAGGGGATGGATCTTTGTTCCCTGAGCCCCTTCTTGCTGTTTGTACTTTCACATCCCCCCAGCACATGGCTGCACCAGGAACATGCAAGGGGTGAAGCAAAAGCGCAAGGAGGAATTGGGATCAGCTTGAGAAGTCAAGCAGGTTCCCTACTCATGGCAGACAAGATGGCCAAGTTCACCTAAAGGAGCCCGTGGAAAGCAGGTGGCCTCTTCCTTGAATTTGACACTTCCTTCTTCTGAGGAGGGAGAAGACACTCTCCTGTTATTTTTCCTACTTCCATTTTAAATCCCCTCTGCCTTGCTTGGACCTGGAGTGGAGCTTCCCCCCTCCAAGAGCTTGGAAAGAATGGCACCAGGATGCGTTCTCTCCCCAGTGCTCATTTTTGAAGCCAAGCAAAGGCAGCTCTGCCCGCACCCCTTCCCTGGTGAAAGCTCCAAGGACAAGCTGCCTTGGCCATGGGGAAGTGCTGGTGGGGGAGATAAGGATGGAAGGGAAGGGATGGAAGTGCTGCTGCATGATGCATGTCCTTCAGTTCCCTGCCCAGGCTGATAAAAGGGGCACGGGGTCACCACCAGCATCACAGCTGCACCCCATTGCCCCTGCAAGTGTCACAGCCAGCTGCAGGCCCTGCATGAAGCATTGGTTTCTGATTACAGAGAGCATCTCCATCCTGCAGGGGAGCAAACCCCATCCTGAGCCCACACCTGGCCAAAGCCAGGACCCCAGCAGGGCTCAGGGTCCTCTCCTGGCTCTCCAATGCGAGTTGGGAATCATTGTGATTTTTCCTTCTGCACTTCCCTCAGATTTACTTCTGTGCCCAGGACATAATGAGACACACAGACCTTCCCAGTGCTCGTGGCAGCTTGGAAATCAGCCAGAAAGCTGCTTCATTTTCAGAAACGGACCTAAATACTCCGCAATGAAAACGTGAGAGCTGGAGGTACTGAAAATTCTGAAGCAGCTCATGGGTGGCAATAGGGCGCAGACCCCGAGCTCAACACAGGAGGGGGTGCAGAAGGATGCAGAGAGCAGCAGCACGGTGGCAAGGCTGGAGCTGGGAGCTGGCACTCATCATTAGTGGGATCTGGGGTGGGATCAGGACAAGACCTGGGATCTGCCCAACTGCTTTGGGCAAAGACCTAATAATGAGTTAGAAACCAACATCTGTCCTCACAGGAGGCACTGTGTGCTGATGGCTCTGTTCTCCTGGGTGTCCCCAAACCACCCCCAGCTGCAGGATCCCACCCTCCCTCCCATCCACGAGGGAAGTGCACATCTCACCCCTGCTTGCTTACTGGAGGTGGAAGGTGAGCAACAGGCATCAAAATATGTCCAGCCGACCTCACAGCACAGCTGGGTGTGCTCTGCTCAGATAAGTAACCAGCGCTTGCAACGACAAAAGGAAGTGAGAGTATGCCAGAATCATCGTGGTTCAAACAGAGCTTTCAGATCAGCCCAGCTCCAACACATCCCCGCTGTGCTGGGAAACATCAAAGGATGGTGACACCCTCCTGGACCAGTGCATCACCACTCCTCTGGAGAAGGAACTGTTCCTAATGTCCGTTCTGATGCCTCCCTCTGCATCCATCCCCATTTGGACTCACCCCAAACGCCATCCCTAAGGAAGGCATGTGTGATAACGGAATTCCTCCGAGCCCAGCAGCTGGCAGGAGATGAGTGATGGAACTTCCATAGCGTGTGCACTTTTTGGTAGGCTGGGAAAGAACGGAGCACTCAATGGGGAGCGGTGTATTTCGGGGGCAAGATCTGCGTGAGCCCAGGCTCCCAGCTGCTCTCTGCCCTGCTGATGGTGCGCAGATGGATGAAGGTGCACATGGTCCCCCTGCTGGCTGCCATCTCCGTGTAGGGTCGGCAGCCACCGCTGCTCCCCGCAGCTTGAGGCCATCACCTGCCATCACGTCGCTGTTTTCTGGGTGAAGAGACCAACCCCCACCCCACTACATCCTCCTTTTAGAGAATGGGGCCAGGGGAGGCCCTCCCCTGGGCCTCCTTTTTTGGTGATAGAGCGCGTGGGGGGTTCTCTGCATTAACCACACCTTGCAGGCATTTCACTGCCCACCTGCAGGTCCCTCTGCTTAAGCTCAATTCTGTTTCTCAGAGGGCTTCCAGGTGTTCCTGGTGATCTTAGGCCCTGATCCAGAAGGCTCAAAAGCTTCTGAAGCAGAACCCACAGGCTGCTGTGCCAGCTGCTCTGCTTCTGCCCGTGCTCAGGCTCATCCCTGTAGCCCAGAGAGGAGAGCTTTGCAGCTTAACCCACAGATTTCCTTCCCCCCATCACTTCAACTTGATGTTCCCATTGCAAAGAGGGGTGAGGTGCAAGAAAATCCCATAGGACGCATGGAATGAAAACGAAAGGTGAGAAGCTTCCAGGCAGAGCGTGGCAGCAGTGACACAAGGCACAATCATGTGTGTGAGCAGTGTCACACCCAGCAGCGTGCTGCTGCTCCTGGACCCCCATCACTGGGCCGTGCAGTGTAAGGGAGATGAGAGCCAAGCTCTCTACCTGCACAGACCACTCTGTGGGCACCTCTGACACTGGACCTTACAGCAGCAGCACAGCTCTGCAGACTTCCCAGGGTAAGGGGATGGAGAGGGAGGACCCACGTGGTGCTGAGGGCATGGATGGTTGTGCCAGGCTGGACAGCAGAGGGTCAGCTGAGACACAGCAGCTACTTCCCTAATTGGGCTTATTTTGGGAAGCAGTCTGACCCTGGCATCATAGCAGAATTGGAGTGGGGAAGTGTGCAAGGCCAGATGGGGATGTCTGGCTTTGAACTTGTGATGATTTCTCTGCTGGGGTGAAGGAACAGGTTCAGCTGTTGCTCTCCTCCCCAGTGTTGAGCCATGGGAGGGTGAGCAGGAGCAGCGGATGTGATCAGCTCATCCTGTGGGGTAATGCAGCCACTTCTTCAGCACAGGATGCGTGCAAGTTATCATTGCTCAACACAGAAATAGTTATCAAGCCCTTAAGGGAAGCTTCTTCTTTGCCCCATGCTGGTGGAGGCGAGGAGGAGGAGGAGTTATGGGGATGTGCTCCTGGGGAAGTGGCATCTTTGCAGGCTGACTTGCCAAGAAAGCAGATCAGCTGTTTATTTCTGAAGTAATAGGAAGAGGAAGCTCGAGATGTGTAGAAATGCACTTCTCTCCCCCCCAGAGCCTGACCCAGCTGCAGCCCTCGCATGCTCTTTCACAAGCCTTCCAAAAAGATTTTCCTATAGCTTTATTTTCTCTAGCAGGTCAGGTCGGCCCTGCTGCCTGAGCCCAGCAGCGGTGGGATTATGGCACAGCTGGAAAGAGCCGACAGCCCTGAGCCACCCCGTGTCCCGGTGCTGTGCGTGATGGGGGCACAGAGCTGCCCCCACCCTCAAGCTCAGCCAGACACCCAGCCCAGGGGATGGAGAAGCGACGCGGCGCTTCCCACGGCCACGGGAGAGCTGGGAGAGCCGCGGGGCTCCTCGCTGTGACACCGCTTCTTCAGCGCGCACCTCGAAACCTCCCACGGGGCACCTCCTGATTCGTCGGTTTTCCTTTTCTTCTGTAGTTAGGCAGCCCGCGTTGCCCCCTGTGGGCTCCCCCTGGCGAGTCCGTCCCTCCGAGAGCTGCTGTTGTCTCGTCCCGTCCCCGCGCTGCTCTCTTTGCTTTCTTCCCTTCCTTCGGCCATACGCGTCGCTCCAGCGATCATCGGCGCGATGCTTTGGGGCCGGGAGCAGCGTGCCCCGTTTCCGCAGGGATGTGCGAGGTCCCCTGCAGGGATGCGGGGTTTGGATGCAGGGTGCGGTGGCGGAGCCGGGTCCCGCCCCGCGGGGAGGCTCAGCTGAGGGGCAGCATCACGCTGGCATAAACTGTCATAGGCTCCGTGCTGGGGCTCTGCAAGGCAAAGTGGGGTGAGCAAAGTGCTCGGATCGGGGTGGAAACCACCTCAACTCCTTTCTACTTACCTGAGAGCTGTGGGGGGCCAGGGATGTGCCGGTGGCTGCGGTGTAAATGGTGGTGCAGCTGGGGTGATCAGTGCCCAGAGGGCTGCAGGGGGACTTTGGCTTCTGTACCGGGAACAGAAAGTGAGCAATGGCAGCCAGCTCGCTGCTCTCCCCTTCCTCCAGCACTACAAGGCCTCCTGATACAGTTTATCCCCAGAGCCACCTTGGGATGCTGAGGGCCGGGGAGATTGCAGCACCCAAAACAATCCCAAAGTAAAGTGGCCGTGCCAGAGGTGACACTTGGGGAGCCCACAGCCACCCCGCTCCCGGGTGGGTATGACCTCACTGTCTCCTGTTGCAAGGCTGCTTTGGCACCCTGTGCTCCAACCTCACAGCCCATAGAGCTACAAGGACACAACTTTAGGGTGCAGGGCTCACTCACCTCCACCCGCTGCACCTGGGAGTAGATGGTGTGCACTGTGCTGTCCTCAGCCAGCGGCGACTGCTCCCTTCCTTGTCCTGCACCAGGGACACAGCAAAGTCACCACAGGGATGGGGTGGCAGCAGGACCCCCGCTGACCCCATATTCCTCCCCCTGTTGGGTTCCCAGCATTTCCCCACATTGGACCCAACCCTGGCGCAGCTGTTTGGCCTCAGGCTCATTGGCTTGGTGAATTTGTCACTTCTCAGGGGCACGGGGCACCCTCACCAGGGTGTTCTGCAGAGACGTTGCTCTCTTGAGCTTGGGCTGAGATCACACGTTTCCCCTTGAAGCTGTGTGATACCATCAGAGAAGCGCAGCATCCGCACAAAACCCTTGAGGTCACACACTAAGCAAAACAGGTATCTGGGTCTTTTGTTGTTTTCTTTTTTGTTTGTTTGGTTTGTTTGTTTTTAAGCTGCTCTCCTTCCTGCCTGTTATCCCAGGCTTAGAAATAAGCAGCTCCCACTCAGCCTTCCCCCCCCACAGGAGCAGGATACCCCAATACAAGCCTGGGGGAGCTGTGAGCTGCTCCTGTCACCCCCAAACCTCCACGCCCTGCACTCACTCATGTTTGCAGCCACATGGGCCACAGTGAAGGCCCCAGCGAGCACAATCAGGATCATTATGGGCAGCACCACCCCCAGCAGCAGCATCCCTGTCCTCCAGCCGCCTGTGGCTCAAAGAGAGTGAGGGTCAGCATCCAGCAGAGAGAGCTCATCGTTAACCCCACCCCTCCCTGTACCTTCTTGCCTATTTATGGGGCTGAGGATTTCAGAGAACGATAACAAGGAGCAGAAATGCTTTTTTTTTTTTTTTTTTTTTTCCTTTTTTAAGCTGAACTCTCTATAGTCAGCTTCAAAATGCAACCGCCAGCAAAAAAAATCTTGCTGAGGGCCGGATGAGGCTCTGACACGTCTCTGGAGACTTTGTGGGGAGCCTGGGGGCAGAGCTCTGCTCCTCCAGTCCTCCTGAGGGGACAGAGGCTGCCACTAATGTAAGTGTCACAGGGGTGTCCCTGTGTGTGTAAGGTTTGGGGGGACCCAGTGCTGGGAAATGCGCCCTGCAGCATCTGGGATGCCATCAGCATCCGGGATGCCATCAGCATCTTCCCCTCTCCAGTGAGATCTAGAGATGACGTGGGGACCTTTGTCGGGCACAGGGCACTGAGAGAGCCCCGTGTGGGTGGGGAACAGAGAGGTGGTGTCACTGCTGTGTCCCCAGGGTGAGGGACAGCCACTGCGTCACACAGCCACAGCAAAAGTCCCCACGTCACAAGGGAGGGCAAGAAAAACCCAATGACAGAGAGCATGATTTTGGCCTCAGGAGCCTCCTGGAGGAAGCTGAGGTTCTCATCATCCCCAGCTCTCCTGCTGTGCAAATCTCATGCGTTTCAAGTGAGCCTTGGGCAGCGGGGCGCAGCGAGCAGAGCTCAGTGCTTACGGGAATGGCCACGCAGCCCACAGTGGTGCTGCGGCTGCTTTTCCTGCCAAAGGTTCCTCCGAGGTGAAGAAAGCAATGTGAAAAAATCCCCCGTGGGGCTGAAGGTGGGAGGAAGAGAGTGGGGTCAGGGCTGCTGCATCCCTGGGGGCTCACCTTGCTCCTCGGATCTGCAGACGGAGGAGTGGAGGGCGGCGGTGCGGCGGCTTACGGGGTTGCTGGCGGTGCAGGCGCAGGGCAGGTTGCTGTTGGTGGGGTCGTAGGAGAGCAGCAGGAGGCTGCCGTTGCGGGTGCAGAGTGATGAGGTGCTGGCCTCGGAGCTGGCCCAGCTGTAGGACACGTTGTCCCCTTGTGCTGCCGTGCAGTTGAGGGTGACCGTGCAGCTGTCGTTGGCCAGCATCCAGTTGAGGATGTGGATGCTGGGATCGGACACGGGTTCTGGGTGGAGAGAAGGGATAAAGGCTGAGAAATCCTATCGAGCCCTCCTACCATCAACTGGAGGTGGGGAGGTGTTGCTCCAGTCCTGCTGGAGGCTCTGGAAATGAGGCTGAGGTCTGCCTTCATCAGAGGGTTCTGGGAGGGCCTTGGGCTCACCACCACATCGCAGCCCAACGCTCCCATCGTCCCATCAGTGCAATGGGGCTCACCATACACCGCCAGTCGGAGCTGCCAGTTTTTCTCCCCCGCTCCAGTGGTGACAGAGTATTCGTAGAGCTGCTGGTCCTGCCGTTGGGTGCTGAGGATCTCCAGTGAGAAGTTGGATGGGTGGAAGAGAATCTGTCCCGGTTTGTAGTTGGTGTAGTTACCTTTGTTGTATGTGAACAAGTATTCCTTGCTTAGTGGATTTTCCACACTCCTCTTCCATGTGGCTGTCCCAAAGTGCTGGGTGAGATTCTGGAAGTGAGCTGGGATCCCCAGGACCGTTGCTTTCCCCAGGGTGCCAAGCACTGTCTCCATCATCCCACAGCCTAAGCCTGGAAGGAGAGCAGAGATGCATGGGAAGAGCCTGGGGAGCTTGGAGGAGCTGCGACCTTCTGGTCACAGCGCTGCATGAGCAGGGGACAGCGTTGGGATTGCCCTGGTAATCTCACATCAACCCCTGTGCAACGATCTGCTCGTCTCTCTACTGATGTGCCTCATGGTGTTTTCAGCCTGAGCTCTGGGTTGGGCACCACATCCTGCCCCAGTGATAGTGGCCCCACACTCCAGCAACCCCTGCGTGCCCTGAGGGTGTCTGAGCACCACCAGCGGCAGTGGTACCGGGTGCTCACCAAAGCACTTTTGTCACCATCAGCCCTGGGTTGCCTCTGGTTGTGACCATGAATCATAATTGCCTTCAGCCCCCGTGAGCCGTGGGCTTGTTTTTGTAGGAAACAGCGTGTTTTTGTAGGAAACCAGCTCAGCACTGCTCACCGACAGAGCGTGGAAGGGACTGTGCCACGTCACCCTCATGTCTCCTGCCCTCTTCTTTCCGATGAGGCCAGGGCTCATCCCAGAAGGGAAGAACACAGAGCAGGACTCGGCACAGATAACGTTCATATCTGCTTTTGCTACAGCACATCCACTAAATCCTCAACCGAGCTCATATAAAATGCTTCCTTCCCCCAGCACAAGTCCTTGCCACTGCTTATTTTTTCTCCCTCCATGGCATGAAACACAGCAGCTTCAGAGCTGTCCCTGTGAATTACATCTCTGGGGTGCCGATCCAGCCATGCAGAGTGGCTGCTATTGCACAGGAAAGCAGCAAAGCCCAGCATGGAGCTGGAGGCTGCATTTTCTCAGTGGCATGGAGCGCAGCGGTTAAGCTCCTGATTAATTACTGAATGGAAAAGCCCTTTTTGAAACATGATAGCAATGCCCTCAGCCTGGCAAGCTGCAGCTCCTGGGGAGAGGAGATGCTCTGTGGGGGAAGATTGCTGGGACTGGGGGTATGAGAGGCCAGGAGCACCCGTATGGAGCAGCTGGGGGAATGTAGGCATAGTGCAGGGTCCAGAGCAGCCCCTGTGTCAGGAATTGCGTTCATGGGACTTTCAGACTGCTGTCCAGGCAGAAAAACCCAGGGGGATTTTGAGGGCAGGTATTCTAGTAACTGTGAGCCAACAGAAAGGAGGCAGCCCCGTGCTGCTGCTTTGCCAGGCAGACCCTTCACTGCGTCCTGCTGACGGTGCAGCAGCACACGGGGATGCACATTGCCTTTGGGAATGGCAATGTAAAGAGGGGGTCGGGGCTCAGCCCACCTCCCCATGCACTGATGCTCCTATAGATGTTCTGTTGCTCAAGTATCACCTCCCCCCCAACCAGCACCCAGAGCTGAGTCCTCCAGAGAACATCTGCCAGGACCTACATCTCCTGCTCCCCAGCCCAAAGCACCACTGACACCCCATGAAAACCACAGCAGAGTATTTCACCACCACAGATACACTCTGACCATCACTGCCTCTGTTCATTCATCACCTTTTATTCTCTCCTCCCTCTGTCTGACTATAGAGTGCATTAGGGATGCACCACACATCCAACCTGGAGTCAGGAGTCGTTTGTCTTCCAGATGAATATTTACATTTATCCGCCTGCCCACCAAGCCCACAACACACCATTTCTAATACCTGCTGATCCCCCAAGCCATCCAAACCACACATTTTGCAGATAGGAAAGATATACATACCCCAAACCCAGCAACAAGAGATGAGCAGCCAGAGTGATGCTCTGCAGCCCATGCCTCGGCTCACGGAGCTGCTGCTGGAGTGGAGTTAATATCAGCTGCCGTGCTCATTATGAGAACAGGTGTACTCAAATCAGAGGCACTGCTGCGGGTGATGTGTTTCCTGTTTTTTTGGCTGAATGATTCTGTCTTGAGTGGAAAGTATTCAAAGTGCTGCTGAACGCATCGCTGAAGAGCGCCGCGGAGAGTTGCAGTACGGCCCAGAGCATCGATTTATGGTTTTCTTCAGAAGTACATCATCTGCCACAGGCCCTTAACTCACTCTCCATGAGAAGAGGAAATGGCCAGCACCAAGTTCACTTTACGTATGGTAACAGATTCCTGGGGCTGCCCAGCACCAGCTGGGGGCAGAGGATGCGGCACGAAAACAGCCCACACCACAGCATTGGCTCACAGCAGGAAAAACAGTGAATATTTGGGGATTAACCCACTCTGGGTGCATGGGATCCAGAGTGGTCCCAGTCCGCAGCCTCAGCTCCAAAGCTTCGCTGCAAGCAGGAGCGCAGGCGGTCCTTAAAGCCCACGAGAACCTCAACCTGAGCACTGCGGGGCTCCGGTTCACTCCTGCAGTGCTTAAACCCAACCCCAGTGCTTAAACTCAACCCCAAGACAATAAATAGAAAATGCTTGCTGACATTTTAGACTCACAATATTCTCATGAGGAATGAGAGATCTTTCCTCAGTGGCAGCCAGGACTTAAATGGGGTCTAGGAGAGGTGGAGCCAGGCTCCACCCCTTCCATTAGCACAAGTGAATTACCTTCACCTGTGCTCCCACAGCTGACTCATTGCCTGCCTCAAGTGGTCAATCAGAGGTTCAGGCCGTGATTCAGCAGCTCCCATACAGGGGCTGCCCTCACTGCTGTGGGCATTCCCTGGCTGAAGGAGGAGGGATGGGTCACGGATGGGGAAATATTGGATGGGATGAGATGCAGAGCAGGGATGGGATACGCAGGAAACATAGATGACACAGATGGGACATGAATGAGACATGGATGGGACACACGTGGGACATGGATGATACATGGATGTGGCACGGATGGGACACAATTGCAGCATGGATGGGACGTGGACATGAATGTTGGGACGTGGACATGAATGGTGAGACGTGGACATGAATGGTGAGACGTGGACATGCACAGGACATGGATGGAGCAGGGGCAGCACTCAGCACACACTAAGGCTGGAAAAACTCCGCCTGCACGTTCCATTGCTGGAAAGGGGTGAGAAGATCTTGGTTGTTTTTGTGTTTTTAGTGGAATGAATTATTCATCTCTGCCGCTGCTCAGCCTGCGCAGCGCCGCTGCTTTACAATGGGAGAAGGGTTTTTTCCTATTACTCTTTTCAAGTTTTTGTTACTTTTTCTCTCTTGTTTTGCGGAAGAAAGCGGAGGCAGCAGCATGAAGCGCAAATTCCTCTGTTTGTTTTAAAACAGACCGCATTTAGGTGTCAGGATGAAATAAAAGCTGCATTTATGCCTCCCACCGTTTTCCAGAGGAGCCGGGCTCTGAGCGCTCCGTGACTTTTGTCACCAATAAATTATTTCTGATGCTAAAAGCAAAGCTATGCCCAAACTCACATCGGACCTGCAGGGCTGTCCTTGCTCAGGGCTGAGCACCAGGCAGTGCAAGCTGATTGCTCTGGGCTGGAAAAGCATGTGAGGCACTGGGAAATATCACAGAGGGGAATTTCTGCAGAAACTCACGTTGGTGCTGGAGGTATCGGGCTGTAACACACAAGGAATTACCCCGGGCCTCCCATTAAACATGAGCTGGAATGACTACTGCTTGTTCCTGGTTCTCAGATGAGAAGGTCCCCCCTGCGGCAAGGGCATTCGATACCAGTCCAGATACCTTACTAAAGAGATACAGAAGTAGAAGGTCCCCCTGGAGGGACCTTCTGGGAAATGGCATGGGACTGCTGTCCACAGTGAGGGCAGTGGGAATAAAAACAACTCCCCGTCACCCCCAGTCCCCAGCATCAAACCCAGAGGAAAGGAGTAAGAGAAGGGAACAGTGAGCAGGAGGGGCAAAACGCGCACACCCAAAAACGTGAGAGCAATAGTGAAAAGGAAACCATTGAATGCATCGCAGCATGGAGTCCCTCTGCTGCTGTCTCAGAATGAGAAACCCCTGCTCTGCCTCCTGGGGGTGCCTCAGGGGCCGGTTTTGAACCCTGAGATTGACCTGGGGTATCACCGTGCATTGGTCCCACTGGACATCACTGTGACTGGCAGATACCTGGAGATGCCCGAGGCCATGAGGAGCCCCCAGGAAGGGCTCAGCTCTCCCTGCATGTCCTACGGTTAAGGAATGGACTGGTTTTGAGCAGTTAACCATCAATTTATTGATTTGTTTTGCTGGTGTTCTCACAGCATCGTTGTGGCTGTCACGGGTTTTCATTGATATTCCATATCTGACATCCTGCAGTGAACTGTCATGAACTGTCAAAGCTGGGAGGGCTGTGTTTCTTGGCTCCCGAGAGCTGTAAGCTACAGCTCCTATCAGCTCTGGTCATTCCCATGTAGTTTCCGAGGGGGGGAGAAGTGACAAACAAGGATCTCCTTCTGACTGTACTGCCATCCCACAGCGTGGTTAGAAGCTCATGTCCCTCTCTCCTTCATTTGATTTATTACCCTTGATTCCTTTTATACCGTATCACCTCACGTTCCTTTACCAGTTCTCATAAACTAGTTTCTCTTTATCTCAGTCAAACCCCCCACCCCATCGTGGGACAAAAGATTCCAGTGTGGCCCAATGGCACCCAATGTGGGGCACAATGTTTGGGATAACATATCACTGCTGAACACCTATGGTGCACTGACAGTTTTGCCAGACATTTAAGGAAGATTGCAGCTCTCTGGCAGCCCTCCCAGCTCTAACAGTTGTCATGATATGGAATGCCCATGAGAAACCGTTCACGGTTGCATAGCAAAGGTTGAGATGTCGGCACAGCACGTGGGGTCACTGGAGTGTGTGTCCTGGGTGCTGGTTGTGATGGATTCCCGGAGAACTGCAGTCCCTCAATGGTCAGAGTGCTGCATCCACGCTGGTCCCTCAGTGGGAGGAGGATAGGCATCAACTGTGATGCATCATTAAGGCGGAGTGAGGAGGAGGAGGAGGAGACATCCGAGGGACACCAGCACGCTGGTCTTGATGGAGGTAGTGGCAGCAGAGGACTCAGCTGGAGGTAGAGGGAGAACTGGGGCAGCAAGTGGGACCACCATAGGGCTCACAGCCCCACTTCTCCATCAGCCCAGGGGCTCCTCCACCTCCAACCCAGGGGAAAAGGGACACCCCCCTGAGACCGCCTCCAGCCTCACAGGGAGACCCCATATCACTGCTGCTGGGCACTCTTTGAGCCAATGCTCTCTCCCTCTTGTCCTACTCAGTACCTTCCCAGGAGCAGGGATGCCTGTGGATCAGCCTAGAGCTGTTGGAGGAGACGGGATTCTTGGCTACGCAGGTGTAGACTTCCATCAAGGGGCTGAAGGAGAGGAACAGCTCACTGCCTCCATTTGATGTGATCCTCATGGGAGGCAACCACTCATAAGTGACATCCTCCAGCCCCACCGAGCAATTCAGCGTGACTTTGCAGCTCTCCGGGTTGCTCTCATCCACCATGAAATTTATGGTGGGTTTGGGGACCGCATCTGAAGGAGACAGGGAGGTGTCACAGCCACCCCATTCCCTGCGGGTTGCTAGGGCCACCCCCCCGACTCACCATACACCTGCAGTCGGATGCTTTCAGGGTGCTCTATGCCCACACCATCCTCCATATACACCCAGTAGGTGTTGCTGTCGTTTTTCCTCAGGTGGTCCATCCTCAAGGTGTTGTTGGAGAAGAGTTCCAGGCGGCCCTTGTAAGGGCCGTTGGGGTAGCGGACCTTCTCCCCCCTCTCATGGATGGCAATTTTCAGATCCTTGCCGAAGCGCCACTCAACTTTGTGGAAGGAGCCCTGGGTGCTGGGGATGAGGTAGGCCACCCCCCCGCTAAGCCCTTCCACGTGCATCTGGTCCTGCTGCGCCCATGCTGCTGGGAGAGCACAGAGCTACGGGAGCAGCTGGGACAGACGGTCACAGCCCCCACCTCTGCAACTCCTTCACAGGCTCAGAACACCCGTTTTCAATTCCCCTTTTCTCTCTGCTCGTTCCCTTCCCAGCTCACTCACCTCCAGCACGATGGGACAGGGGGGGTGTCCCATGGGGAGCGACCAGGCTGCAGGGTGTCCCAGCAGATCACATTTGGGGCACAGCGTGGGGACAGGAAGAGTGAAGGGAGAGCATGGGGTGGGGATGGGCGCCCCACACATCCTTCCTGCACACCACCATCGCCATCACCGCCAGCATGTTCCTCACCAGCACCTCCTCCAGCACCGTGGCCCCAGTCAACGTGGGCCCAATCTACGCCGTCCCCACTCAGCTTCAGCCCAGAGGACCCCAGACGTACCTTTCACAAAGAAAACCAGAAGCTGCCCCGTGAGCACCACCGCCACCTTCATTCCATGTTGGCGTCCAAAATCCACACCGAGCATCTCAAACAGCCCCCCAGCAGCAACCCCCCGGTTGCGGGTCTGAGGTCCCCACTCCCAGAAGCGTGCTTGTTGCCCCAAGCCTTCTCTTGTGGTTTTGATGACAGCGTACTTGCTTGACTTCCGTACTTGCGGCGCAGAACGCTCAGATGCGCAGTTGGGGTCAATAAGACCTCCTGGTGGCTGCTGATCACTGCCTCCTCCAGCAAGCAAGTAGGGGTGAGATGTGAGCTTCCCTTGGGGCCAGGATAGGAAAGAGGGGAGAATCCTGAGGGTGGGGGTGGTCTGGGGATACCCGGGAGAACAGAGCTCCCCCAGTTCTGTCGCATGCAGAGCCGTTGCCCCAGCCATGCCACCGCACCATCTGCTGGGCTGCTCTGTTGTCCTGGGGTTCTCCAGATGAAAGAACTGACCAAAGCCCTCCTGTACCTTGCAATCAATCGCTGCAGTTCTGGCTGAGACAGATCCAAAGAAGCAAGGCTGTCATAGTTTTATGGTTTTTTTTTGTTTTGTTTTCAGTATTCTACATCATAGCATCATGTAGTGCACTGGGAGTTAAAATGTTAAGACTCTGGAATTCCGGGTATCCCTACGGACATCATGGATCTGGCCCTTCTGGTTGGGCGCTCTCTTACTGCCCGGCAGTGGGTGCTGGAGGTGCTTTCATACCCATTCCAAGCTTTTCAGGTTTGACTCGGTCTCAGGAACTCTCTCTCTCCTATCTTATTTGATTTATTAGTCTCAATTTCAATTAGATTGTATTATATTGCATTCCGATACCAGCCTGGGCTCTATGTCTGCAATGTGAGCAACCCGGCCGGCTGGAGCACGGCCAGCATCGACACGGCCACAGTCTGCACCCAGACAGGTGATCTGTCCTCTGCTCCTCCAAAGCCGGGTTTGGGGCTGCATACCTGCAGATTCGGGGCCCCTACCTCCCCATCCCCATAAGCTTATATGGTGTTGCCTGGGAGAAAATGTGCCCTTCTGCTGAAAAGGGAAACATCACCGTTGGAAACTGCATGCAAATGGATGTTGTGGTTTCCTGGGCAAGTCTCCTCCCCATGCAGCAGCCATGATGGGGGCTGTGCTTTGGAAATGTCTGCTCTCTGCCCCTCATCACCCATCCCTTCTGCCCTCGTTCCTTCCCAGGGGTTGGTGCCATCCCGATCAGCGCAGTGACCTTTTGCTGCTGCTGGCTACCTGCACTGCTGGCTTCAAAATCTTCCGGAGGAGGAATAGGAGTAATGATGACCCTGGATGTTCATCACCGCTGGGAGCGGGGATTTGTCGGCGCAGAGCAGGGGATGGGTCAGCACCTGGATGTTGATGGTGGCATTTTGGCCAAACCTCAGATATTTTGAGCAGTACTGCAGTATTTTATCCCCATCCTCAGCATGTCGGCCAAACCCATAGCAACTGCTCTCCCCAAGCCCCAAATTCTGCTCCTCCTGCCACTGGGGAAGCTGCTGCTGCACTGTTTGCTGGTGAAGAAGTGGAGGCACCAAACAGTGAAGCAGCAGGATGCTGAGAACACCTTGCTGAGCTCTTCATCCCTGTGCCTCTGCCTGTTATGAAATTCTCTTTCCATCAGCCAAGCAGTCCAGAACTTATTGGCAGAGAGTGGGAGAACAAGTGCATGAGCTGTGCCTCCTTAGGAATTATAGACTGGTAGAAGTAGCTGTGATGGAAGGGGCCTTTAAAAGTCATCTACTCCAACTTCCCTCCTGAAGCATCACACACGTTAGGGCCACTCCTACTGAGAAATGCTTGTTTTTGGGGGCTGATAGAAAGGGAATGGCTTTTTTTCCACAGGCAAAGAGAAGCTCAGACCCGACCTTCACTTGTTCTTCATTCCCATTCCCCCAGAGCACAACAAAGCCCCACAAGTGCAGCACGCTCTCGTAGTTATGTGTCTTTCTCTTAAAAATAAAACTCATCTGTTCTCACAACAGCTCTTTTTTTAATGCCCCGTTTCTTTTGATGGCCGCGCAGAGCGCATGCGTCTCCCACTTCCTCAAGCCATATTTTCCCATCTGAGCAGAGCACAGACAGATGTGCAGTTGGGGCCAAACAGACATTCTGGTGACTGCTGCTCACCCACCTCCTCCTGCAAGCAAGTAGGGGTGAGATGTCAGCTTCTCTCGGAGCCAAGATGGGAAATGGGGTATCCTGAGGGTGGGGGTGGTTTGGGGACACCCATGAGAACTGAGCTCTGGCAGCACTGTCACGTGAGGAGCCATCAGCACACAGCGCAGTGCCTTCTGTTGGGGATGACATTTCTTAACTCAGGACTTTGCTGCACTGTCTGAAGCCGTTGGTCCTCACTGAGATCCCACTGATGATGAGCACCAGCACCTTAAGCCTTTTCCCAAAGTAACAGCTGGTTCTGTTTGTGGGGGCAGTGGGGTACGGGCACATGGCGGTGCTGCAGAGCTCTGAGCTGCTGGAGTCCAACTCCAGCTCATATCCACCAAAGAGAAGAGCCGGAGCCTGCAGGAGAGGTTTCTCACCTCCCTGATCCCTCCTGCAAAACGAGCCAGCAGCCTCAGCCCCTTCCAAGTGTTCTGCCCTGGATTTCCTCCCATGCCAGCACCGCACCGCGTCCCGACCCCATGCGGAGGTCCACCTCCTGCGGCCGAAACAGCAGCGAGTCGGTGCTGACGGCACAGGAGCAGACTTTGCTCGCCCAGAAGAACGAAGAAACCAATGGATTTGCGATCGTTTGCATTTCGCCTTTCCGTACGTCAGGGCCAGAAGTGCTTTGCTCCCTCCCACCTGGATGCCTCGAGGTGCGGATGACGGCACCAAGCAGCAGCACGGCTCTGCCTGAGCCCCAGTGAGCAGCGCCCACCCCCCGAATTTCCTGCCGTGACAGCAGCCCCCCAGCCCCCCCCCACCCCTCTACCATAGCAGCCTCTTAGCACACTCCCCATTAACGATCCCAATTAACGCTCCTTTCGCAGGGAGCAGACACAAAGGTATTTTGATGCGGGGGACTCAGACAGACGAAGCGGGCGGCGCCGTCGGGAGTGAGCTCCCATCAAAGAGACACGTTTAATTTTAATCCCAAATAAAAGCCTTGATCTCGCCTTTGGTGCGATTTTTTGAAGCCTTTCTCTCCCCTCTCCCCTCCTCCCGGAGTCTCTCGTGCCGTCGGAGGGCGTCGGAGGAAGGAAGGACCGTTGGGTGCGGGCTGAACCCCCCGCAGCAGTCAGGATAGGGGGTGGTTGCGGTCTTAGCAAAACCCAAATCCAGATGTTCCCAGCCCCACTGAGCCCCCGGGCTGCGGGGAAGGG